TGGAGGTAATAAAATATAAAAAGATAAATTTAAAAAAATGGAAAAGATCTATTTTCATATGCCCTGAATTGAGATTTATCTGTTGATGACTACACTATCCACTTTTTTCTGGAGGTAATAAAATATAAAAAGATAAATTTAAAAAATGGAAAAGATCTATTTTTCATATGCTCTGAATTGAGATTTATCTGTTGATGACTACACTATCCACTTTTTCTGGAGGTAATAAAATATAAAAACATAAATTTAAAAATGGAAAAGATCTATTTTCATATGCTCTGAATTGAGATTTATCCATTGATGACTACACTATCCACTTTTTTCTGGAGGTAATAAAATATAAAAACATAAATTTAAAAAATGGAAAAGATCTATTTTTCATATGCTCTGAATTGAGATTTATCTGTTGATGACTACACTATCCACTTTTTTCTGGAGGTAATAAAATATAAAAACATAAATTTAAAAAATGGAAAAGATCTATTTTTCATATGCTCTGAATTGAGATTTATCTGTTGATGACTACACTATCCACTTTTTTTCTGGAGGTAATAAAATATAAAAAGATAAATTTAAAAATGGAAAAGAACTATTTTCATATGCCCTGAATTGAGATTTATCCATTGATGACTACACTATCCACTTTTTTTCTGGAGGTAATAAAATATAAAAAAGATAAATTTAAAAATGGAAAAGATCTATTTTTCATATGCCCTGAATTGAGATTTATCTGTTGATGACTACACTATCCACTTTTTTCTGGAGGTAATAAAATATAAAAAGATAAATTTAAAAAATGGAAAAGATCTATTTTTCATATGCTCTGAATTGAGATTTATCTGTTGATGACTACACTATCCACTTTTTTCTGGAGGTAATAAAATATAAAAACATAAATTTAAAAAATGGAAAAGATCTATTTTTCATATGCTCTGAATTGAGATTTATCCATTGATGACTACACTATCCACTTTTTTCTGGAGGTAATAAAATATAAAAACATAAATTTAAAAATGGAAAAGATCTATTTTTCATATGCTCTGAATTAAGATTTATCTGTTGATGACTACACTATCCACTTTTTTCTGGAGGTAATTAAATATAAACAGATAAATTTAAAAAATGGAAAAGATCTATTTTTCATATGCCTTGAATTGAGGTTTATCCATTGTTGACTATAATAATCTCTGCTGATTCTGGTGGTAATTAAATATAAAAATAAATTTACACAATGGAAAAACCGATTTTTTTATATTCCCTGAATTGAGGTTTGTCCATTGATGAACACACTACCCTCTATTGTTTCTGGAGGTAATTAAATTTCAAAACAAATTTTCAAAAAGCAAAAAAAAGTAAGCAAAAGAATCTTTTCAAAGTTTATTTCATTTTCCACAATCATAGTTATAACAACCTTCTCAACATATTATATTTGGGATAAAACAATAAATGATTTTTTAATCATTAACCATGTTATTAACCCCATTAACCAACCATAAAATACAGTATTAGTTATAAAAATTAATATAAAAGGTTAGTTTTTATTATCATTTACTAAAAAATCCAGTATTCATTACACTTTGGTTTTAGAAAATAAGAAAAAGAAATAATCTTGTATGAATTATAGGATTCATCCTATAACTCATATAAATCATGCTAACCTCAGAGATAATAATAAAGATATCAGCAGAAACCATGATTCCATATGTCATAAAAGGATATGACATTAAGAAAATTCATGTTATTTATCCATTAATGAAAGTATCTCCAACAGTTGACCAAAAAAGAGGATCCATGATGAAAAAAATATAGAAAACATAAAACATATATATGATAAGAATTAGATTCCTCCTCTGATTCATTAAAAAATGAGCATACCATGATGAAAAAATTTCCAAATTTAATAAAAATAAAGTTTTATCATCAAAATCTTTGTGCCATTATTAAGATATTTTATGTAAAAATTATATTTTTTTTAATCTTTCTCAAAACACTCCAAATTTTGGTTAAAATCTTATTTTTATGGCATCAACACAGGTCCATAAATTTGTATAGTCACAGCATTCTGTTTTTATGGATCTATGTGTAAGGGCTGGTGTAGGGTATGCCTGCACTCCCCAAACAACCAATCCAGGCTCTCCCTGCAAATGTCCAAATATGGGGAGGCCCCTCCTCCCTCCTTGGAATTCTACCTGGGCCTTCTCTTTCTTGCTTTGTGTGAGTGCCTGGTCACCTGATCGAACCCACCTACTTCCTGCTTTGTGTGAGTGCCTCTCAACATCACTGCCTGATTTAAATTGCCTAATTCTTTTTTTTTTTTTGTAAACCTCTCTGCTCTTAAAAGTTAATCCTTATCAATTGACCAAATTCATGGCCAGAAGTCTGTTTCCTCAATGGTCATAAAAATATTATCTATTTCCTTCTGGAGAGACTAAGAAGGTAACAGCTGGAAGACTCTATGCATGGCAACAGGACTCTGCACCATGCCACACAAGCAGGAGAACACAGTCATGGCTATCAGACAATTTCTGTGACTACATCACCCCTTACATCTGTCCACCTAAGTCCCCAGGCTGCAAACCTCTTGATTATGTATGGGGTGCAGTTGAGCAAAAGAACAACAAAACTCCTTGTAACACCAAAGAGGAACTGAAGACAAGCATTATGACAGCAAAGATTTGCTAAACATTGGTTTTATTAAATTTTATGTGTATGTATATATATATATATATATATATATATATATATATATATATATATATATATATATATAAAATAAAAACCGGATTTAACTGACATTGCTACCCATAATGGTCCATAGACCAAGATATAGAAAGAGTCATGCTGCCACTAAAAACACATAGTCTGAAGATTGCATCCAATCATGAAGCAAATTGTCACCAATCAATGTTAACATTAGCAGCCATCTTTATCTATATCAAACACTTGACCATAACACACAAACAAACTTTTTAAAATATCAAAGGGACAAACAGAATTTGAATATTAAATTAAAAACAAGTAACAAGGTTTTAATTTCAATTTGTCTTTGTAAAATTCATATATGATAAATAAATATTATAATATTAAATATAAGGAGGCTTTTCTTCCAGTTTACATTTTAATCTATACAAGTTTTTGTTCAGAATCTTTCTAACAATTTTTTTACCTATATTTATATAAATTTTTTAAAACAAAGAGAGAAACTGCAAACATTTTGATTATAATGAGGATTTTCTAAATATATATTATACTTTATTTTCCATATTTTTACTACAAACATTTCCAGTCTCATGATCTTCATCAGGCAAAGAGTAAATATTTTCACATATTATTAAAAGGAATTAATTTTTATGATCTTTTCCAATGTTTAACCATTGTCTTTTTTGTGTAGTAATAACTCACATGTTTCCTCTTGGACTTATACATAATTAATATACGCAAAAGGTTTATCACTTAACCTATTGATATTACCTATTGATATTACCCTCATCATCCCAACTTCAAAGTCTTATATACAGACCCTCCAGGTATTACACCATCCACTCATCATGGGGTATCAGCAACTGGCTGCTTATTCTACTTGATTTTTTTTTTATATGCATTTTTCATTGATGCAAGTTTTTTTTGCATACTATGTGTGCATTCACATATATGCATTTTTCATTGATGCAAGTTTTTTGCATACTATGTGTGCATTCACATATATGCATTTTTCATTGATGCAAGTTTTTTTTGCATACTATGTGTGCATTCACATATATGCATTTTTCATTGATACAAGTTTTTTTTGCATACTATGTGTGCATTCACATATATGCATTTTTCATTGATGCAAGTTTTTTTTGCATACTACGTGTGCATTCACATATACATATAAAAATGATCAAAATATTATTTGCATATATATCTCTTTATATATGATGAAATATTGTTTTAATGTATGCTATATTTATTGGGTAAAAGTGCTCAATATCTGCAATATAACATGTGTGATAAATGTAGATACTGGCATCTACACCAAGAGGTGCCACTCTATTTCATATTTGAATGGAATGCAATCTTATTTATCAAGGTAACTACTATTTTCCAATTGTCTATTTTATTCAATTTGTTTCCTCTTGTGAAATATAACATCAATCAGCAAAGTGACACATTTTATATTTATATTAATCATATATATATATATATATATATATATATATATATATATATATAATTATTTATTTAAAAATATGATTCCAACTCACGACATAAGAAGTCTCATGTTTCAAAACAAGAGCCGAAAACTTCAATATAATTATTTGAATTAAATTGAGTTAAAGTAAGCTCTGTTCCATCTTCAAGCGAAATTCTTTTTTGGAATAACGTATTTCTGAAATTTACATGTTTTAATAATTGAAATCAAAAATCCAAATTTCCATGGTAACAGCTAGGGCGAATTGTTTAAATTGGGTAGGCGAGTGTTGGGTGTTAATAATAAGTATCAGTATAGAGTTACTTTCATAGATGTCAAGTCAGAGAAAGGTGGGGGTGTCTAAATTTAAAACGGAAGATGTATTCACCCTCGTCTGGTATGCGTGTCTATGGAGATTTAATTATTTTTTTATTTTATTTTTTTATGATGAAAGGGATTTGTGCATATAAAAAAAAAACTGCCGTAACGTTTGTTTTTTGACGACTTCATAAAGGGTTATCTTTTTTGTAGGGTATTTAAACTATTTATTTGGGCTATGGATTATGAAAGTTATTATATTGTATGCTTGTTTTTAGCTAATTATTCAAACCATAAATCTGATGATGACAGAAAACCGTAAACTCATGTCTATTGTTTAATAGATTATTATTGTTTAGAAGTTTAATAATGTGCAATTTCTCATGGAGGCACAAAAGGCATAGGTCATCCCAAGTTTTACATGTTCTAGCCCTGTTTATATATATATATATATATATATTACAATCTAGTCATTGAGCTTACTGTTCATCATTGACATCATTATTCCTCAGATATGAAAAAAAAATTCTCTGAATGGGAATTGAAAGTAATGTTCAAATAAGAACACCAAAGCGTCTACGTATTTCTTATCAATGTTCAAACAGGATGCAATTCGGTATGAACATCCAAGAAATGCAATTTGTGCTGTTGTTAATAACCTGGGTTCACGAAGTAATGTTTTGATCCATATCAGACGACCTAAAAATAGAACAAAATGACAAAATTTTAGAAAGAAATTAAGGAGGGTTTTTTTTTTTTAAATAAATGAATGTTTATAAATATTTTCATAGTAATGGTTTTTATGAACTTTCCTTTTTGAAACCTAAATATGACAAATTTAAACTCAGTTCTAGATTGGCAACAAGGTTACATCATTTTACAATTAAAATTATTAGATATGACATTAAGTTTTATGTTAAGTCTCTTTTCTTGCACATTTCACTTGTGGAATTCATTTCCAGCTTCTAGCTTTCCAGTCAAGATCTTCAAAAATTTCAATGCAATGTCAATAGTTATCTTCTATCTTCTTAATTCTTATTCTTTTATTGTTCTCAAAACTTTATTTTTTTTTCTTTTTCTCATATTGAGTCTTAGTGGTTTTATTGCCTTGCTTGGGGTGTAATGATTAAAAAAAAAAGAAGAAAAATGCCCAAGTAATTGAAAATGCATTAACTATGTTTTTCAAACATTTTAAAATAATCTGCACTAAAAACTGTAAACATTTTTGAAATAGTTGAGTAAAATACAACTCCATGGTATTGTTGCTTTTTTCTTTATTCAGTATTTTCATTCTAATTATAAAATGAGTTTTAATCTTTTAGAAAAATATTCAAAATTTAGGATTGTGTAATTGTAAGCAGTTTCTTTTTTGCAAGGTTCATATAAAGACATGAAATGACAACAAATTTTTTAAATATCAAAGCAACAATCCGAATTTGAATATTAAATTAAAAACAACATTTTATATATATATATATATATATATATATATATATATATATATATATATATAAGCAAAAAGCTTTATCACTTAGCTTATTGATGTTACCTTCATCAACTCGACTCCCGAGTTTCATAAACAGACCCTCCAGGAATTGCATCTTCTACTCATCAGTGGGGTATCAGCCATTGACTGCTTATTCTTCTCAATTTTTTTTTATATGCACATTTCATTGATGGAAGTTTTTTTTTTCACATATACATATAAAAATGACCAAAATATTATTTGCATATATATCTATTTATATATGATGAAATATTGTTTTAATGTATGCTATATTTATTGGGTAAAAGTGCTCAATATTTGCAATATAACATGCGTGATAAATGTACAGTAGCGTCCAAAACTAAGAGACAAAATTTTAAAACCTAATATTTGTTAGAAATAACAACTGTCAAAAGCTGAAATTTTGACAACTGGTAGTCGTTATCACCCATAATAACATACTAAAATTTTAATCATTTGCAAAGGATAGAAAAAGAATTATAACAATTATTTATTTATTTTCAAAAAAGGATCGTCCAAAAGTAAGGGACAAAATTGAGAAAAACAATGTAAATGGCAAAAAAACAATAAAAATACATGTACAATCAATATTTAGTAAATGAGTCCTTGCTCTCAATGACAGCTGCACATCTTCGACTACAAGAACAAATCAGTTCTTGACAATCCTCGATACTAATTTTAGACCATTCTTCTTGAAGCTTCACCCACAAATCCTCCGTGTTAGTGGGATTTCTTTCCATAACTTTCACTCCTAAGGTCTTCCAAATATTTTCTATTGGATTTAAGTCAGGACTTTGCGGTGGCCAATTCATAATTTCCAAATCTTGCTCGCTAAGGCAACTCATTACCACCTTTGCCTTGTGACATGGGGCATTATCTTGCATAAAGGTAGCCCTATCGAAACCTGAATTCTGTATGATTGGCACAACATGATCTTGAACAATGTTTTATAGATCTGCACATTTACACGAGTTTGTAACCGGACAAGAGGCGTTGTATCTTGGCTAGAAAACATTCCAAATACCATGACGCTTCCGCCCCCAAACTTGACAGTTTTCTTAGTACACTTTGCACTTAATCTTTCACCAATACGTCTTTTTACATTGTTTTTTCCATCATTTCCAAGTAAATTAAACTTGCTTTCATCACTGTAAAATACTTTTGCCCAATTTTCATATGTCCAAATTACATACCTGTTTGCAAACTCTAATCTCTTCTTCTTATTCTTCGAACTAACAAGTGGTTTCTTCCCTGGGGTTCGATTAAACAGCCCTATTTCTTGCAGTCATCTAGAAACAGTCTGTCTTGACACATTAACACATGAGGTACTATTCATAACCCTTTTAATTTCTGTGCAAGACTTAAAACGGTCCTTTAATGACATGCTGCATTATTCGATCTTCTCTTGCCGAAGTTTTGCGGGGTCTGCCGGTTTTACGCTACTGTAGATACTGGCATCTACACCAAGAGGTGCCACTCTATTTCATATTTGAATTGAATGCAATCTTATTTATCAAGGTAACTACTATTTTACAATTGTCTATTTTATTCAATTCGTTTCCTCTTATGAAATATAACATCAATCAACAAAGTGACACATTTTATATTTATATTAATCATATATATATATATATATATATATATATATATATATATAATCATATATATATATATATATATATATATATAAGCAAGTGTAAATGGATATAAATCCGACAGAATGAAGAAATTTTGAAAAAACAAACAAAAATCCTTAAATGTAGTTAAATGAAAGAAATGTCGACGTCTGACGTTTCGGTTTATTAAACCTTTTTCAAGACAATATTCATCAAAATACAATTCAGTTCAATATGACAAATACGATGGACATAAAAACACAAGTCTTATTCCGAACAGATAACTGAAAATTTTTAAAAATTTTCAGTTATCTGTTCGGAATAAGACTTGTGTTTTTATGTCCATCGTATTTGTCATATTTTTAAAAATTTTCAGTTATCTGTTCGGAATAAGACTTGTGTTTTTATGTCCATCGTATTTGTCATATTGAACTGAATTGTATTTTGATGAATATTGTCTTGAAAAAGGTTTAATAAACCGAAACGTCAGACGTCGACATTTCTTTCATTTAACTACATTTAAGGATTTTTGTTTGTTTTTTCAAAATTTCTTCATATATATATATATATATATATATATTAATCATATATATATATATATATATTAATCATATATATATATATATATATGTATATATATATATTAATATATATATATATATATATATATATATATTAATATATATATATATATATATATATATATATATTACAATCTAGTCATTGAGCTTACTGTTCATCTTTGACAGGATAATTCCTTAGACATCTAAGGAAAGTCATGAATGGGAATGGAAGAGAATATTCAAATAAGAACACCAAAGCACCTGTATATCTATGATCAATTTTCAAATATGGTGCAATTCGGTATGAACCTTCAAAAACTAAAATTGTTGTAATCATTATTACACTGGGTTTACAAAGTACTGTTTTGATCCACATCAGACGACCTGAAAATAGAACAAAATGGCAAAATTTTAGAAAGAAATTCAGGAGGGTTTTTTTTAAAGTAAATGAATGTTTATAAATATTTTCATAGTAATGGTTTTTATGAACTTTCCTTTTTGAAACCTAAATATGACAAATTTAAACTCAGTTCTAGATTGGCAAAAAGGTTACATCATTTTACAATTAAAATTATTAGATATGACATTAAGTTTTTTCGCCAAGTGATTATCTGGGTGGTCAACTAAACACCTTCGCACCCTGTCGCCAACAGTCTGTCCAGGTAACAACTTTTATCATGCCAAGGTCTGGACATAAAACAGGTGGTTCTCTTCCAAAACCAAATGATATCTCCGAAAGATAGTTAATAGTTTATTCTTTTCTTTTTTCTCTTTTCCCTTCCTTTTTCTGTGGTGTGGTCTCTGTTGATTCTATCTCGGTCGCACACTCGACCTAAATTCTATTTATCTTCTAGCATTCCGCTTTGTAAGCCACTTGACCAATTTGAAATTTTCATTATTGCCATGGGCAGATTGCTATCTTTTATTCACATTCTACCATTACTCGGCGCGTCATGGCATAAATTAATTCTGACAGATCCGAGATCTTATGAACTTCCTATCTTCTGCGAAAAAAATACTTTTCTTCGCAAATGAAAATAAAATCTTTACCACTTTTCTTTTGTTAAAAAACATAACATCGGTCAGTATGTCTTTCGTGATAACTTCTTCTCGCCATAAGTATTTCTTGCTTTTAATTTTCAAGCTTAATTAATTAGCCAAACTCTAAATAGTGTCACAGGACATTGGCGGCCTATCTCCTGATGGAATCATCAGGACTGAGATGGCAACAGGATCATTGGGGGAGGTCGTCGGTATCCTTACCCCAGCCATGTTCAATGCAGAAGGACAATCCTAATTGGTTTGATAAATGTCTCTCTGGTTAGCTAGTCTGAATGCCAGAAGCCTAAGGTCGGAGTCTCGCAGACGAGGCTCTCTCGTGACCTTCAGCATCTCGGGGTGAATATACGTTGCGTGCAAGAGATCCGTTTTTCTTCTCGCGATTATGAAGGCATTCTGTCTAGGGGGTTTCCCTTCATTCAGCGTGTTTGGATGTACGCTCAAGAGGTGTCTCTTGGCTAGTAAGCAAATCTTTGAAGGCTGCATGTGCTCGTCTTCGCTGATCCGGCGGGCAGACTTTGCATGCTGGATGTAACCATAAAGAATTAGGCTCTTCGTCTCATTGGGGTTTATGCGCCCAATGTCCATGCTGAGCGGCTTGCTTTGTTTCGGCGGGTCGTACTGTTTTTGGCGACATCTTGTCGGGTAGTTTTAGCATGGGATTGGAATGCCCTCCTTGACCTCGACATAGATCGTATAGGGTCAAATTCAGGTACTAACAACTGGGACGTGAAACCATTTTGGGACTTTATCGACAAGATCAAACTTGTCGATAAGTACCGGAATGAACACCCCCGGGAGGTAATGTGGACTTTGACTAATAGTGGCAGCTCGGCTGTAGAAGTGTGTTCTAGCTACCTCGACCGAGTTTTAGTCAATAGAGTCGATGTAGGGCTCCTCGGGTGTCCAAGTTCCCATTACATAGTTTATTCGGATCATAGGCTTGTCCGGGTCTGTGTAAACTTAGATAAGCCTAATGTTATGATAGCTGGCTACTGAAAATTAAACTGCTCATTATCTGGTGAGCACGATTTCCGGGACCAGCTGCTACTAATGATACAGAAGGAATTGACGTGGATGTGGTTGGGAATGCCTGGTGGGACAAATTAAAATCTAAAATTAGAACGTTTGAAGCAGATTTTAGTCGTCGACTCTAGATAGATTAGCGGCGCAAACGGCTTGTGAGCAAAAGGTAGATCGGGCAATTAAATCCCGTGATAGTAGGGAATAGCTTTAGCTAAGGCAGAATTGGCCTCCTTGCTTATCAAGAAGGATCAAGCTCTGGTAGTTAGGCTTAAGCTAAAAAGAATGTCCTCTGAGGCGACGAATATGGCCGCTGAATTGCATGCAGAGGAAAGTAGGAATGCATCTCGTTGACATATTGCATGCGTCACATTGCCGGATAAGCGGACCGTGACTACAAACACGGGCATATGTGAGGCTTTTCGGGATTACTTCGGGAACTTTTTTCCAAGGAGCCCAGTTTGAGCCAGGCTTAGTTCGACGCCTATTTAGCAGACTTTTCCTGCTTTGAGGTAGCTGAAGCGGCTGGGTGCGTGGGTCCCATCACAGAGTCGGAAATCTGGGAAGCGCTGAAGCAGGTTGGCTTGGATAAATCTCTGGGATTCGATGGTCTTCCCTACGAAGTTTACTTGAGGCAGTCGCCCGTTTTTGATCCTTTGATGGAACTGATTTACAACAACTGGATGAAGCAGTGGTCTATACTGCAACGCTTCACAAAGGGTATGATCAAGTTGCTATGCAAAGACAAGAACGGTGGAGATGGGTTAGATAACTTTTGCCCTTTAACCATGTTAAATACAGAGTTAAAGATTTTGGCAAAGATCTTAGCCAACCGTTTGCAGCTTGTCCTCTCTAGTCTGATTGACTTCGAATAGACTTGTGCTGTGAAGGGCAGGACTATTCAGAACAACCTTCCGTTTGATCATTGAGAAAGTCGACAGTGAAGCCGCATTGATCAATTTAGATCAGTCAAAGGCCTTCGATAGGGTTGACCATCTTTTCCTAGAGTTTGTCCTTTCAGCAGCCGGCTTCGGGCCTGACTTTCGCACCTGGATCCGACTTCTGTATGCGACTCCCGGTGCGCTGGTTGAAGTGAATGGGGTAAGATCGGAACCTTTCGTATTGTCTTGTTCCATTCGTCAAAGTTGTCCGCTTTCGCCTATGCTTTACGTTCTTGCGTTGGAACCTTTCCTCCGCAAGTTAAAGACGAATCCGGCCCTACGCAGAATTTCCCTGTCCGGTGCTATTACTTCGGCCAGGTATTCTGCCTACGCTGATGACGTTTCGGTTCTTGTGTCGAGCAAAGCCAAGATTGACGAAGTCAGCAAAGAAATCAGCGGTTATGAGATGGTGACAGGGGCCAAGATCAACCGCGATAAGTCTGTTGGCTTGCGGTCTTTCCTCTGGACGGATAGGCCGGTCAAGATACTCGGCGTCTGGCTCGGTCCTGATATGAATTGATCGGAGGTACAAGGGAAGGTCGAGATTGCAGTTAATCTGTGGTCTTGGAGGAATCTGTCCTTGAAGGGGAAGGCGGAGGTATGTGTTTCACACATCTATCCGATTCTCCTTTGCCGACTCTCTGTACTTTCACTTCCGTTTGCAACACTAAATAACATTAGTAAGGCTCCTGTTCTTCTTGTGGGGAGTCAAGACCGCTAGGGTAGCTCGGGCGATCTGTTGCCTTCATCCATCTGAAGGTGGTTTAGGTATACCTAGCATTGAGATTCGTCAATATATGCTTCGCATCGCGTTCCTAGATCGATTGTTTCGCGAGTCGGATGAGGAGGGCGCGCCTTCTGGAAGGAAGACGCCCGTAAGAACTTCCCATCTCTGAATGCTCCTTCTATCATGAATTTCGTCCTGTTCTGAAACGCCTCTTACAGGCGTCGGATGGCCTCTCCAACGTCCAGGTGCTGTCTCGAAGGGCATTACATCAGATGTTAGTCAGGGGTCCATTCGTGATGAGCTTATTGATGAGCTCGAACTTACGAAGCAGGAGGTTCGATCAATATGGCCTTGGGCGCCCGGGTTGAAATGTCTCAATAACGAGGCATCACCTGGCTGGTGATTCGTGGGGCCCTCTGGGTTGCCAAAAGACTTTGTTCAGTGGTTATGGAGAAATCTCCAAACTGCCAACGCTGTGGTGAAGAAGTCAAGATCTTGGGTTACACCTTCCTTCATTGCAGCGTGGAAGCACCGTCGTGCAAGTTGAAGGACTCATGGTTTGCATGCTGCAGGGAAAATTCTTTGTCCTTGAAGCCTCTTCTATTTGTAGCAATGTGGCACTGCCGTTGACAAAGGCTGAACAATATATGTTTTTTTGCTTGCTAGGTGTTATGAGAGTCGTGATTTGGACAACACGTCAGAAGGGATTCTATGGAGGCGAGAAGCTCACTTCTTCCCAAATGATCTTGTACTGTATCAGCTTAAAGTCAAGATTAGGACGGAAAAGTGGCGGTTCACTTCATCAGAATTTTGCAAAAGGTGGGTGAATTTTGCGTGATTGTGTCGAGTGAAAGGGGCTGATCTGGAGTGACACTTTTGTTAGGCATCAGGATATTGTTCTTCCTGGGCTGAACATAGGCAGCCCATCCCTAAATTAGGCTAGTTTTGGGTTTGTTTTTGAATCTTTAGTTTCTTTTTGCAGTTAACTTAGCTAGGGTATGTATGCTCATTGGCCCCTTTTTATTTCTGTCCCTATTTTTCTTTAGTTTAATTCCCCATCCCCTCCCTCGTTAGGTGGTCAGTGGTGTCAGTTCTCTGGTAGATATGGGGTGCCTTTCGTTTCGCGTGTGTGTTTTCGTATTTGTTGTTGTGTCTGAATGCGTGCGTGTCTGTGTGAGGGCTTTGAATGAATGAATGTTTTATACTATTATAATCCCGCATCGATTTCGTCCAGTTAACAGTTTCTGCCACATTTAAGGATTGGGGGGGGGTATTACTAACATGATTTTGTTTAGTTTCTTGTAAATAAATTATATTCATATTGTACATACTCATTGGGGATTTTTTAAATTGTTCTTTTGTTTCCCTTCCCCCACAGACAATGATTTGTACATATGGGACTATTTAGGATTTTCATAGAGACAATGAGGTATTATGGTGAATGTAGTAAGAAAGGTAGGTAAGAATGTGTTGTTTTGGTATTAGGACCATTGGTTGTATGTTTGGGTCAGTGTTTGTGGCTAGCTAAGTTTAAAGTTAAGACAAAAGAAGACCGTTCCTTTTCCCAATCCCCATTTTGGCCTTGTGCCACATTTTGTACCATTGTGCAAATAAATATCCCTAATCCGCACAGT